CTGAAAAAGATCTCGTGTTGTCCTTCAGGGCTGTAAATACCAGCCGTAGGGCAGAGAGCTGCTGACAGACGCCTGCTGCTGAGGAGAAAGCTGGGACTCCGAGGGCGCGTCCTCCCTCCCTACCCCGCCGGGCGCGGGTTTCCTCAGGAGCCGGAGCTGACGGGGAGGAGTGGGCCGCCGGTTACCTTCCCGGGAGCCCAAGTCGCTCCTTCTTCCCGGAGCGGCGAGTGTGCCGCTGGCGCTTCAAGTCGTAACCTGAAGTGAACTAGCCATGGCGAGTGAAGACAAACAAGTTGTTCAGCCAACAGGTGATGATGGAGGAGGAGGAGGTAGTGGAGGAGGAGCGGTAAAAGAAGGAAATGCTGCTGAAGGGGGAAGTGTGTTGCAGCCTTTGAATCCAGGAGTCCCCATCCGAGGGATCAAGATGAAATTTGCTGTGCTGGCAGGACTGGTGGAAGTTGGTCAAGTGTCCAACAGAGACATAGTCGACACTGTGTTTAATCTGGTAAGTTGATTGCCTTTTTGGGCATGAGAGAAAAGAGCGGCATATGCATGCAGAAGAATCCCATGCTTTTTGATGTTATTTTTATGTCAATATTTTTTTACATGTTTACACTTTCACCATACTAGATTTCAGCTAGGTTCTTTTTACTTATGGATCACAAAAACTGAAAATAAACCATATGAGCCTCTATATATACATTTAAACTTGAAACAACTGTAAACAGCATCCTCCTTAGTTTGCCTCAGAGAAATTGTTGCTTTATTTGGAACTGAGAAGTGTATTGTTATGTTTAAACATTCAACAGTTGTACTCAACAAGAAAGTTAAATGTTGATTTAGTAACTCAAACCGTCATCAAAACACACACGTTGTTGTTTTAAGTCAAAACAACTCTTCTCATGAAGGTGTTTATGTCCCTTTTTGCTTCCCATTTGCTTTGGAAGTAGGCAGAACTTTCATGTTCTGTTTGCAGGGCATCCCCTGTAGACAGGGGTGTCAGGGAGCAGTTAATTCAAATGCTTTACTTACTCTCCTTATTGGGAAGAGTAGAACATGGTTTCAGTGTCCTTTTTTTTATTAATTAGGTAGTCAGCTGCTATTTTTTGAATACAGTATGGATGTATTTAATACTTCATAACATCTCACTAAATATTGAGGATACAACTTTTCCTGTCGAAGCTGCAAACATAATATATACTGTTGAACTTCTTGGGCCACATTTAAAACAATTAGGCTAGTTGTTAATGTTTGCTTGCTAAAGGAGACCAAACATTAGGAGAAAAACTGTCTTGAAGTTTACAAAGATATTCTGCTATTATCAGAGATCTCAAAACATCTCCAAAAATACTCATCGTTCCTCCTTCTTCCTTTTAGTGCGCACCTTTGACTTTAAAACACTGTGGTTTCTGACAAACCAGGAAGTGAGAACATGTAATAGTATAAAGCTCAGTAACAGGGAAAGTTGACGCAAACAGCATACTGTTTTTTAAATGCTATTTGCATTTCAGTTATTTTGTTAGTAGTATTCTTTGCTACATGCAAGTTTTAATTGTCACTAAATATTTGTGTGTGCTGTGTTTGTTCAATGTTTTCTGATCTTATCTTCTTGGGTTATGATAAATGTTTATGTTTTGAATATTTTCGTATTAACAGAGTGTAATGCTCTAAATTGTTTGGATGAAAGTCTCAATACAGAGGAATTGCAGATCAGAGGTTTCATGGATGCTTCAAGTATGAGAAAATTATTTAAGTTACTTAGAGTCCACTTGACAATTGTCCTTGACAAAAGCCAGTGCTCAGATATATGGACATGAGGTTCAAAAGGGAATTCTGTTAAATAGTTTATGATTTAGGACACTTGTGTGAGGGGAAATTCTTCATGAGTGTGTTAAAATTTTACTTTGTTTCTAGCATGGTTTTTTGAGTGGTGTACTGGAGGTGTATTTTATGGCAGCAATGGAAAGAGGGTCAGCAGAATAATTAAAAATGTAAAAGTTCCTTGATCCTGGGATTCCTTTTCTGCTCCATTTTGGACAAGAGAGGAATGAAAAATTCAGCTTGATTCAGAGAATCCTTGATTTTTGATTTAAGAGGTCTGGAGAATTTGACCTGTGGACTGCATTCTCCTGGATCTTCATTTCCCAAATAGAAGTAGGAGAGAGTTTCTGGCCCTGGAAATTTTTGAAACTGTGTTTTCACTTTTTCTGCAAGTGAAACAACGTCCCTGACCTCTCTGAGAAGATTCCCCAACCATTCCAGCACACCTGCTATGATGTGGGAGGCTAAAGTTCATGTTCCTGCACCATGTTATTTTATCAGAGCAGTAGTAGTCAGTTGACAGCTATCATGAAACAACCAATGGTTTGGTAGTAAGGACACTTTATCTGGATTATGTGAGAACAAAACCCAAATTTTTGGGCAATATCAAAAAAAGTAGGTCCCCTGGTTTCTCTGAGTCCTGGGAAAACATTTCAACTACTGGTGGCTACTTTGGAAGGAGAAGATGTCTCCGTGTTCTGTGGTTGTATTAAAACTGGAATGCTTAAAAAATGAGACCAGCCAACAAACTCATAGTTTTTGTTACAGAAAGCATCTATTTTCTGGATTTTTTTTTTTTTTGTAAAAGCTGTTAAACTGACTTTTTAATATAGCTTTCTGGGATGTGAAGTCTCCCTACAAAGCAATACTCATCCATCTGTCATTGAGTTCTGCCTCCATTCAGTCGTTAGCTGTGACCTCTTTGTTTTGTTGATTAATACCTCTGAAATCGCACTGATCAGAATTTAAGGCATGTGAAGTATTGGTTACCAATGGTGTACTTACTTTTCTGTGCGTGTATGCAGAAAAGGTTTAACTTTTATATGAAAAAGTGATTCTTAGCTATCGCTTTTCTGGTAGTTTGTTTCCCAGAGTTTACTCGTGTGTGCAGGTTAAATTGGGGGTATGAAAATCATGCTGTGATCTGTTGTTACTAATGGGGTTAAGCCAAACATATCCCCTCCTATTGGGTTTCATTCAGTTTGGTGACTCATAACTGCACTACCTCAGCAGTGTTAGGAGAAATCAGCTAGCTCGCTTCTTGTACTTTGAAAGGAGGAGACATACGGTATTTGGGGGATTTTTTTATCACTGAAGTGAGACGTCTTTAGACCAGAGTGGGAGGAGGGCTGGGCAAATCTGTGTCGAAAGGTGTTTTTACATCCTTATTCTTCATAGCATACCCACCCTCAAACGTGAAGGGTTTATTTTTTAGAAAGAGAGCTTAGCTGACCTAATTTTTAATTCTTGAGCAAACATGTTGCTCTAATTATGCTCTTCAAGCTTGCTGTAGCATATGGAGGTTATGGTGAATTTCTTTGTGATGGAGAGTCAAGAGAAGCCCAAAGTGCTGTCTTGATGTTCCTCATCTTTAAGGATTTAAGAGATAGTCATGCTTTATATGTGAAGGACTCAGAAGGTCAAAAATCTAAAGTGCGCAGTAATTGACCTGCTGCTTATTGAAGAAATTTAAGCTTCTGTAGTCCTGATTACTTGAGCAAATAACTTGTTTGGCCCAGCAGCGTTGGATCTTGAAGCTGAGAACCACATACAACATTTTCTCTGTCCAGCAGTATAACAGAGTGCTTAGTGAGCTCACCTCTAGCGTGCATCAGAAAAATAGTAGTCTCATTTTATTGTCTTTGGAAATTCTACTCTTGGAAATATTCAAATTTATCTGCTTTATTTTGATCAGTATTCTCTGAGAACCTAGTTTTCCAGCCCATGTTAGATATGGCTTTGTGTATTTCAGCACTTCTTAAAATTGGGAAGGAAAATACTGACTTTAGAGAAGCTTATTATTCTGTGAAAAACTTTGACAGGACATTCTTGTTCAAGTATTAATCTGTTTTGTTACTTTTCTGACAGACAGTAAGCTAAACTATGGATATGTATTGCTCGTGCATTGTGAATTATATTTTTAATTGACCTTGGGCAGCAATAACTCCTTGAATTTCCTTTGTATGCAAATCAGGTGAATTCCTGTTCATTACCTCATATCTGCCTCCCCCCCCCCCTTAGTTTATTAAAATAAAAAACCTCCTGGTAGGAGAAGATGATAGAATGGAAAAATAAATTATTTACAGTGGGATCTGTTACTAACTTAAAATAGCTATGTGTTTTTCATAGTAAAACAGAAAGACAAGTTGACCTCCTACTAATGAAGAAACTTTCAGATAGAGTAGTAGAAATAACTCAGCAATTGGCAAAATTTAAAAACATACATTTATATATATATAAAAGTTAGTTACAGTACTGTGCTACTAGTGTCAAAGAAGATTTTTAGGATCTGAAGTTTTCAGATGTAGAGAACGAATTCTGTTCTGAAGGCTATACAACCTGCATTGGAAATATAGGAGGTCCTGGAAGATCTTTTCTAGATTAAAGTTCTGGGTGGAGCTTCTGGTCTACTCTGTTCTAACTGGGCTTTTCTTGTATTGTATGTCAATGTTGTCTTGCTTCCAAGTTATTGCAAGTTTCTTGTTTGTTTATAAAACTTAGATCATTGGATATCCTTGTCTTTCAGTAGCTAAAGGGCTTTCACTGACAAGTGTTTTGTTCATAATGAATGCTGTATGTGCAGGGGTTAACTATACTGCATTATTAGGCTTGCAGTGGGAAATGGATGTTCTGGCAAAATTCTGCTATGCTTCAAGCAGATGACTGTACAACTAATGTCTTTCTCTGTGGTGTTGGTATAGTTCAGTTTGGGGACTTCATGCCAGAATTTACTTAGGTCTCAAGTCAATTAGTGTATAGAGACAACAACATTCTAGACTTTCTGGTCTTCTCTAAAGAAATGCCATACCTTGCTCTAAGCCAATTTTGTTTTAAAAAGCTTTAGTACTTCTAATTGTTCTATTGACTACAATATAGATTCAGTTATTTGTTTCTGTTCCTTTCCCTCCCCCCCCCTCAGTCTGTGTTGCAAAGACTTTTTTTTAATGTTCTGTCTGTCTTTTTGGTAAGGAGAATGTGCTGTTGCTTCTGATTCTGTTCATGGATTATGAGGTCCTCACCAAGAGTCCCCTAGTGACGAAGTGCAAATGAGAAAGAAATCTTAGTTTTTGTCACCTTTTGGAGGAAAAATAATGAGATCTGAGGAGCAAAGACTAAAATTACTTTAAAAACTTAATTTGTCACCACTCTCACTTCTGCCAGACTTTACTAAAACCACAAACAAAAATCAATGTAACTTTTTAAAATTCTTACTGTTTACTTTCCTTGTTTCTTCTTTTAAAAGTGACCTTCTTCCCTAACCCCACTTGGCTTGTTTTATAGAACAAATCTGAGATAAATTTTAGGACTGCCACTGGTTTGCCTTCTGCTCATGTGCCGTCTGCTCTTTTTGTCATGTCTCCATTGCTATGGTTCCTGCACTATAAACTCTTTATTGTTATTCATATTGAAAGCTAATGGCATCACTTGCTCATACAACAGGTTTCTAATTTGGTATGAATGCTT